CAGTAAGTTTTTGTTCTGGAAGAGGAATCGTTTCCTCGGAGCTCTGCGGAAAAGTTGGCACACATTTAGAGAGAATATATGTTTCGTTAATGCGTCCTGCTTAAAGAGGCGGCATGTGTTGGATAGAAATAAGTAGTTGAGGACATCCTGAAATCCCTGATCATCTTCTTCGGATGTAGGAAATCGGGCACTTGCATCGATATCCGTACTGGCTGACCGGGGGATCTTGGTGATTATGTAGTGAATTTCACGAAATCTTATTTGGATTACTGCGTTACTGCGTTGTCCTGGTATTAGTTTCAAATTTTTCTTTTTGCAGGAACCAAGCTACAGATAGCTGTTGACGCTGGACCTAACAATTCCATTAAAAGCTTTGTTTTAGATACTAAAATTTTACTGCGAGGAAAGACTTTCGAGGAGCAAGCGTGTTCACTGGTGTCTGATGTTTTGGAGCCAGCTGGATTTCTGTTGCTTAGATGGGGAAAACTGCCTTATTTATGTGAAGGAGATTTCAGAAGGGTATGTTTTAATATTTTTATTTATGGATGTATATTATACCATCTTAATATTCTCTTGAATGTGCTTTGTGTTGTAGAATCGACGAAAAACTTAGGGAAGGGCAGAACTTGGTGTTCAAATATGAGGAATTCGAGTTCGTGAAAAATTTCCCTCGCTTAGAATTTTTTTTAAAATGTGCTTTTTTTAAATGCATTCGACCCAGTGTAAATTTTTCAACCAAACTTTGAACTGTGACTTTTGGTAAAGTTTGCGTAAGGCTTTAAACTTCTCGATTTTTTGATTTCTATTCTTCAGGCGTATTACCATCTCGATGATGCTGTCTTTCTTCTGAAGCCTGTCGCTACTACTTCAGGTGAAGACAACTTGACAGTTGCTTCGATGGTCTTATCGCCGCCAAACCGCGATTTCATTTCGCTATAACTATTGTGCTTTTTTTCTGTAACGCTACAGCGCTGCTATAGTGAGCAAAAACGCATATTGTCGGGAGGCCGTTCGTGTATGTACGTGTGTCGGAAGCGAGCGAACTTTGTCATACTGTAGCTACCAGGGCGCAGCTCACGCGAAAACTTTAATTACATTAATAATAAATCAACAAAAAAAAAAAGAAAGAGCGGGCAAGGCGTCGCGAGAGCAATTACTAAAGCTCGGCTCGGCTG